TTTTGCTCTCGCTTCCGCCGCGGACTCCTCCTCTCACTCCCGTTCCGCCATAGCGGCCTTGTCTTGCTGCTGTGGCGGCATTGTCATGTCGCCAGCCGCGTCGCGCTGCTGTGGCGGCGTCGTCGCCGCGTCAGGCTGCCGTGGCGGCGTCGTCGTGCCGCCGACCACGTCATGTCGCCGACCACGCCATGCCGCCGACCACGTCGTGCTGCCACGGCGGTCTCTGTTAGCTGCCGTAGCAGCCTCGCCGCGCTGTCGTGGCGTCGGCGCCAGGCCGTGGTGGCCTCGTCGTGCTGTCGTGGCGGCGTCGACGCACCAGCACACGAACGGCCACGGGCCGCGAACCGTCTTAGACGCCAGCCGGCCCTCCCGCATGCCAGCCAGAGCCGCGCCAGCCGTGGCGCCTTGCTGCAGCTTCGCCCCCCCCCCCCCCCCCCCCCCCCCCCTTACCCCCCCCCCTTCCCCTCCCCTGCATCTTCCCTTCTTTTTCCCGCGGTAGCTGATGCCTTCCTACCCGGTCGTCGCCGAGTAATGCCACGCCGCCGGGTGCCGCAAGTTTCGTCGTAGCCGCTGCCGCCGTAGAAGCCGCCGCCGTTGAAGCCGCCGCTGATGCTGTTGCTGCCACCCGCCGGGGGTATCACCGCTTCGCTCGAGATAGGTAGAAGCCCCACCTGCTGCAGGACATGGGGGTGCACGGGCTAGGGGGTGCACGGACTAGGGGGTGCACGGTCTAGGGGTGCACTGGCTTGGGGTTGTTGCGTATTGGGTGGGCTTGCCACTACCAAGCCTAGGGGGTGTGTCAAGTCATATATTTTATATATAGAATTGTTTAGGCTTAGTAGATTGATACACTACATGATCCTACTATAGAGGGGACACCCTCCCTCCCCCCCCCCCCCCCCCCCCCCCCCCTCCTTCTTGTTGTAGAAATTTGGCAGGTTGTGCAGGAGACCAACTATAGAATCTGCAACCACAAGTACTTAACCAAGGATCTTTGCTTGAATGGTAGACTAGTAAGACAGCGGAAGTCTTATAGGAGTGAACCTGAGCACATGAACTTGTGGGTAGTCGAAGATTGAATAACCTGAGCACATAATTCTGTGGAAAGTCAATGTTCATAATAGAAAGGCATTACAAGGATTTATAGCTCTAGGAAAGTACCTGTTCAGCTAGTTGCGCGCTATGCGACCTATTCGTCATACTATAGGATCTCGATTGTTTGCGTGATTGAAGCGGCTCGTTACGCCTATTCGTGTAACTGAAGCGGTATGCTTACGTCATGCACACGACGCGCGATGATTTGCTGACGTCATCACTCGGACCTGTTTCCTTACCGAGAAACTCGATACTTCTAACTACACCAAAAGCAGAACTTGCAGGAATGCAAAACTTCATTTACCACAACACTCCCCTTCATTCCTGGAAGTTCGATGTAGTCACGTCGTTGTTGGAGTTCGGCGAATGAAGTCTGCAGTTTGGAATCTTGTGACGTGTCAACTTCATGTGCTGTAAGTAGTCGGCGGTCATTCCATTGGTCAAATGGTAGACCTATCGCGTTCTTCCCTTGTTGATGACGAATTTTGGCTTTGACGAAGTGCGTGTAGATCCTCCTTTCCCCCCTCACTTCGGCAGAGTAAAAATGAGTCGGGTTGAAAGTGGTTGGGGTTGCACCAATGAATGTGGCAAGGCCGAAGGGGACGAATGCAAAACCACGAAAGTGTTGCACGTGGTGGAGAGGAGCATCGGCATCGTCTGGAGGCTTGACAAACCATGAAGTGACGGGTAGATCCGATGGTGCAGCTTCGGGCAGGGAAATATGTTGAGTCAGTAGTGCACGCAGCTGCTCACGTAGCTCGTGAAGGGTACTGTTCAACCCTTCTGCTTCATTGCATTGTTGAACGCGATGACGAGGGGTTTGGTAGCAATTGATGCCCATGCCTTGCTCGTAAACGTTGGAGGTCGTAGTGTGGTTAGCGGCTTCTCTGTAGTATAGGAAAGTCTGCAGCGGGGTAATGAGCTCGCTTGCTGCTATGGCCAGCCAAGCAAGGAGTAAGAGTATGAAATATGAAGGTAGTAAAAACCTTGAGAGTGCATAACCTTTCACTTGAAGACTGGTAGTTGAATAATTGTCATAAGTCTTCTCGAGAGTAGTTGTAGCGTCGAAGAATTTTTCAGGAGCGAGTTGCAGTGTTTCCTCGTGTTCTTGACTAATATCTTCCTTGATATTAACGGCAGGTGTGTCGGCAAGGATGTCGGTGGTGCTGCTACTCGGATATTCTTCTTCGATGCTGCTGAAGTCCATTGGTGGAGTGGTTATTAAAGCTATTGCTGCGATTATGGATGGAGCTTGAAGAGGAGCGGCATCTTCAAAAGATTTTGCTGCCTTGAAGCGTAAAACGAATACGCCATTTTTTGTTACTGCTCTTCCGATGTACGCGTTGTCAACATCATGTATTAACTCTTGCTCTTGTGTCGTGTAGTTTCCGACCGTGCGGATTTTCTTCTTCCAGAGTTGAAGAGTTGACACTAAATTGAAGCCAAGATTGTCGACGAGTAAAACATTGGTAAGGCGTAAGGAATTTCCCGTATCGATTGATGTCAAAAGTAGACTGCCGATATTTTCTGCTGCAATTGTTTGACCGTTGGCGAGTATGATTGGGCAGGGTTGAAGAAGTCGACGACGGTTGTAGATGAAAGGGTTTGTTGAAGAGACCATGTGATGGCCACAACAACTATCCACGTACCAAGTATCGGTATCTGTACTGCAATTGACCATGTGAGTGGATGAAGTAGGTAAACGAAAAATTGAAGTTACCGTATTAGTGGCAGAGTTTGAATTAGTGGTTGTCGGCTTTGATGAGTTGCTTGGAGGGGCAGAACTGAGAGTCGTTGGTGGTGTTGATATTGCAGATGTTGCTTTTGGAGGCGCATGTTGCTGAAAAGACTGCTTCGAAGGCTGACGTAGCTGCTGTGATGATTTCGACTGCTGCAGTTCTTCAGGAGGTAAATACCTCTTTTTAAAGTAGCACCGGTCAGTAGAATGTCCTCCCTTGTTGCAATTGTGATAAAAAGATTGAGGACGTCGTGTTGGTGTTGAATAGAAACTGAGTTGTATATCTCCCTGTTTGTTGCGTTGTGACTGTAGGTCAAGATCTTGCTGTTCCGCTTGAAGATACGACGAAATTTCAGCTTCGGAGAGGTTCGGGTTCATGCGCATAAAGGCGCGCGTTTGTCGCCATTCGAGTCCAAGGCCAGCAAGAAGGACCGTGAGATACATCTCACGAGGGAAGTATCCCCCACTCTTTTCCAGTTGATCTCGTAGTGCACGGGCGCGATTGACGTAGTCCATGACATTTTCGTTTGTCATCATCTGCACATTTGTCAGCTGCGAAAGTATTTTACTTATTGTTATTGTATCTTTTGCCATGTATACCCCCTTCAAGTGGTTCCATGCAGTTTCAGCTGGTGTAAAGCTTGAATGAAACGATCCGGCGCCGAGCTGCTCCTTCGGCGACAGGTTCCGAACAAGAACTGTATACGCCCCGAGAGAGGCGTGTAAGAAACTCTGCTGCTCCAGTTGTGTTCCCACGACAGGATAAGTAAACTCGCCGGTGAAGAACGGCCATAGCCCAGCGGACTGCGCAAGTAGCTCAAACTCGAAACTCCAGGAGTAAAAATCCACTCCGTTAAAAGGTATGGTTGTTTTGATCTGTGTACTGTTAAGAAAATTTGGCGATTGAAAAATAATACCCGGTTGTTGAGGCTGTTGATGTTGCTGCTGTTGCTGTTGGTGCTATTGCTGCTGCTGAAATTGCTGTGGCTGTTGATGCTGTTGTTGTTGTTGCGGTTTCTGAGCAGGGGGACGGGTTGCTGCTGCTGCTATGACTGCGGCTGTTGCGCCAAAGGTGAGAAAGCAAACGAACCAGTATATAGAATCTGCAACCACAAGTACTTAACCAAGGATCTTTGCTGGAATGGTAGACTAGTAAGACAGCGGAAGTCTTATAGGAGTGAACCTGAGCACATGAACTTGTGAGTAGTCGAAGGTTGAATAACCTGAGCACATAAGTCAAGGTTAATAATAGAAAGGCATTACAAGGATTTATAGCTCTAGGAAAGTACCTGTTCGGCTAGTTGTGCGCTATTCGACCTACTCGTCATACTATAGGGTCGCGACTGTTCGCGTGATTGAAGCGGCTCGTTACGCCTATTCGCGTAACTGAAGCGGCAAGCTAACGTCATCCACACGACGCGCGATGCTTTGCTGACGTCATCACTCGGACCTGTTTCCTTACCGAGAAACTCGATACTGCTAACTACACCAAAAACATAACTTGCAGGAATGCAAAACTTCATTTACCACAACACTTGTATCTCCTCTTTCCTAGTCCTACCTTTTCTCTCTCGATACTTTCTCCCCTCCTGTTTAAACCCTCATGCACGCCATCCATGTCTTCCTACCCTAGCCTCTTCCAGCTCCTAGCTTGTTTGACATTCTGCGCTATACTCGGAGTTATAATTCATAACATGAGCCATATTGAGCATTCATTCAGAGGTATGGGAGCTTTATTCCCATTGGTGTTACAGTACTGACGTGTCGCGCCGTTACCACTGGGCCTCATTGCGAAAGTTTCACACCACCTGGGGCAGGTGGTCTCCATCAACAAACCACCTGGACCCCGAACCCACTGGAGGAGAAGCCACCCACCCACCCCCAAACACTGTAACGGAACGTGTCTAGTCAGGAATACTGCGTCACCCACCAGACCGAACCGACCTCCGATCAAACGTGGCAACGCGCCTATACTGCTGGCAGGCACGCCCGTGCCCCTTCGGATACCACATCACCCACCAAACCGAACCAGCCAAGCAGCAAACATCAAGTCGAACCTCAGCAGCAGGCAGTGAGAATAAGTTTAGTGGTATCCGAACCTCGGCCTCCTTCAGTAGAAATTCTCACGCTGCGGGATACAGTTTGGTGGACTTCCGAGCCTCTAAGCCCAACAACCACAACTGCCGAGCCTGTGGTTTCTTGCCACATAAACAGCCATAGCCAATCGTCCTGACGCATTGCATTTCAATCTTTGAGCTTCAGAAACACATTTCTGAAGCCCTCAAGCTACCACATTCTAGGTTCCAGTGATCTTCTCAGCGCCCACATTCACCAATTTCTTGGTCCAATTCCAGTTCCTGCTCTCAGATTTCGTCTTGCGCCATGGCTTCCGAAGGACCTGTGAAGAAAGCCTTTATTACTGGTATTACTGGCCAAGATGGGTCCTACCTGACAGAGTTTCTGCTGTCCAAGGGCTACGAGGTCCACGGTATCATCCGTCGTTCCTCCAACTTCAACACGCAGCGTCTGGACCACATCTACCGCGATCCTCATGTCTCTTCGGCCAAGCTGAGACTCCATTATGGTGATCTGTCTGACGCCACCGCTCTCCGTCACTGGATCGACCAGATCAAGCCAGATGAGGTCTTTAACCTCGGTGCTCAGTCGCACGTCGGCGTCTCCTTCGAGAATCCCGAGTACACCGCCGACGTCGTCGGCACGGGAGCTCTTCGCCTCCTGGAGGCCGTTCGCAACCACATTGAGAACTCCGGACGCAGCGTGAAGTATTATCAGGCTGGATCGTCGGAAATGTTTGGAGCTACGCCTCCTCCTCAAGACGAGAAGACGCTTTTCCATCCTCGCTCGCCGTACGCCGTGTCTAAGGTGGCTGCTCACTGGTACACTGTGAACTACCGCGAGGCGTATGGCATGTTCGCGTGCAACGGTATTCTCTTCAACCACGAAAGCCCGAGGCGTGGTGAGAACTTCGTAACGAGGAAGATCACCCGCGCTGTCGGCCGCATCAAGGTCGGCCTGCAAAAGAAGGTGTACCTTGGCAACCTCAAGGCCTCCCGTGATTGGGGTTTCGCCGGTGATTACATCAAGGTACGATTTTTCCTCAAACCTTGTTGGCATTGTGCTTCGGGTCTTGATGTTTGTTGCGACGAGGAAGCTTGTGGCTCCACAATCCCCTCAGTCGGACACTGCATACGCTTCCGGCACACTTTTTCTTGTGCTCCGCCCCTCCCTATCTACTAGCATGAGCCATAAAGTAGTGAACGACACACACACGGAAATGTTTAAATCACCAAAGGGATCCAATTTCATTATCTAACCTGCTCAATTCCCTCGGATTCGTCTCTACAGGGCATGTGGCTGATGCTCCAGCAGGAGCAGCCTGACGACTACGTGCTGGCGACAGAAGAGTCGTTCACGGTTGAGCAATTCCTCATCGAGGCCTTCGGCTATGTCGGCCTGGACTGGAAGGAGCACGTCGAGATCGACCCGCGCTACTTCCGCCCGTCCGAGGTGGACAACCTCCGCGGATCGTCCGCCAAGGCCCGGGAAAAGCTTGGGTGGAAGCCGGAGGTGAGCTTCAAGCAGCTGGTGGCCATGATGGTGGACTCGGACCTCGACAAGGCCAAGCGGGAGAAGGTGCTCGTCGAGAACGGCTTCCTCGACAGCAACTTCCAGCCCTAGAGAGGATTCTGGATTCTTGATTCGGGAGTCTTGAGGCGCCTCAGAAGCCCTTGCTGGATTCTGGGTTTTGAGTCTGGTAGATTCACGTCTGGAGTACCATTATATTATCCAGGCGATTGTAAAGCTTTTTTGGTGTATTAAAACTGACAGATTGCCCCATGAATGCAAACAAAATGGATATTTTAGCAGGGGATCATGGCATTCATCTCGTTGGGAATGCTGGGGTGGCGGCCAGAGAGCTTGCAGCAGCTGGTGGCAATTATGTTGACTCTGATCTCGACTAGGCCAGGTGTGAGAAGGTGGTAGTTGAAAACTGCTTCATTGACAGTGTTGGGCTGAGAAAAGCCCTTAGTATCTTTTGCAGAGACTAAGTTCCAGCCGTGGAGACTTGAGACTTGGAGTAGTGCAGCGGAAGTTGAGGCAGTTGAACCCTTGTACCGGTACTAGTATATGAGAACAAGTGATTGATTAAAGAAACAAGCATACAGCAATATATAGAAGATAAGAAAGCAGTTGCAGAGTACAGTTACAGGAACGGTTTATCGAGTCGCATAGCGACTCGATTGCCGCTTCGGTTACCATCCGTGATGCTGTAACGGTCAGTCGCAACCTCCAGTTGCGACCTTTCGGGTCTTTTCGCATTCTTTGTCCGCCCCCTCGTGTAACCTCCGTTGACTCGCGTGCTCCCCTGTAGTCTTCCTCGAGTGTAGTGTTACACTTCAGAAACGCTTAAGTTCTTTGAGATATTTCCAACACTCCCCTTCGTTTCTGGAGTGCTGTTATGTTCGGGTCCGGTGACGTTTGTTTGCCCGGTCAGGAGCATGCAGTAGTCGAATTTTGCTTTCGCCAATTTCTTCGTCAGGTAGTCTGCGGCCATTTCTGTCGTCGGGCAGTAACTGAGTTGAAGTCTCCCCTTCGCGATTTCATCCTTGACGAAGAAGTACCGCAGGGCGATGTGCTTGGTTCGGTTGGCGAAGCCGTCCTTGTTTGCGATTTTGATCGTTGATTGGTTGTCGCAGAGGAGTGAGAAGGCGGGCAGGGTCGCAATCTTCGCTTCCTCGAGTAACTCTCGTAGATAGAGTCCTTCCTTGGTCGCAGTACAAAGGGCGATATACTCTGCTTCGGCCGAGGATAGTGCGATTAACTCCTGTTTGCTCGACTGCCAGGAGATAGTTCCGATAGGTTCTAGTCGGTAGATGTAGCCCGTCCTAGACCGTCGATTTTCGCTGTCTCCCGCGTGGTCGGCGTCGACGTATCCGAGTAGTCGTACGGACGGTGTTGTGGCCTTGCTGTAGGTGAGCCCGATCGTCGGCGTGGAGACGAAGTAGAGTAGCGCTCGATTGAGTTCCTCGAGATCTTCCTGTTTCGGCTGCTTCAGATGTGTTGCCAACTGACTCGCACTATAGGATAGGTCGGGTCGGCAGGTTACTGATGCGAATAGTAGGCAGCCGAGCTTCTGTTGATACTCCTGGATTTGTTTCGCGGGGAGTTTTGTAGAGGCGCTGCTGTTGTTCCCGTAGCGGTAGGGAGTTGGGACCGCAGTCGGTGTTAGACCGAATTTCTTCGCGACGGTGCTTGAGTACTTTCCAGCGTGTAGGTAGAACGCCGTGTCGTCTTCGACGACGTTCAGTCCTAGGTACTGCGTAACTTCGTCGGACACCGTGAGGGTTAAATCTTCTTTCAGCTCCCCTTCGAACCAGGTGGCGATGTCGGTAGTGGAGCCGATGTAGAGCAGGTCGTCGACGTAGACGATGAGCAGAACATACTCTCTTCCCTTCTGCAGTCGGTACATCCCTTGGTCATGCGGCAGCTGTAGGAAGCCGATTTTTACGAGACGGCTGTGAAGATGCTGCTGCCAGAGCCGCGGGGCTTGCTTGATCCCGTATAGGGATTTTGTCAGTCGGCATATTTTCGTGGGGTCGTCGATGAATCCGTGGGGTTGTTCGACGAAGATCTCAGCGTCCACAGGTGCGTATAGGAACGCATTCGCGACATCGATTTGGCGTAGTGGTAGTGTTTTTGTGGCCGCGACGGCGAGTAGGATGCGTAATGAGGTGTGACGGGAGACTGGAGCGAAGGTTTCTGTGTAGTCGGTTCCGTATCGTTGATCGAAGCCTCGTACGACCCATCGAGCTTTGAATCGTTCGATGGAGCCGTCTGAGTTGGTCTTGATGCGGTACACCCATTTCCCCGAGAGAACGTTCTTCCCGTTGATGCTCGTTGCAGGTACCAGTTTCCATGTTTCTCGGTCTTGCAGAGCTTTTAACTCCTTTTCCATCGCTTCTTTCCATTTTGCCTTATGTTCCCCCCCCAGAGCCTGCGACAAGGTTGAAGGCTCACGCGTAGAAGGCGGCGGCGGATGCTGGACGGAGACCCAGAGGCCTAGAATCTGGAGTCCCGTGGGTGTGTGTCGAGGGGAATTGTCATTCCCGGAATAAGCTGCTTCGTCACCGTCTTCGGGGTCAGGTAAGAAATTGGGGCCGATGCGTTCCGAAATATTCGTGTCGACGGGGTGAGGTGTAGCGTAACCTTGGTCGGCGAAGTGGTAAAAGGTGTCGAGGTTGTTGCTATCGAGGGGATTATCTTCATCGAGTGGAACAGGTACGGAACAGAATGGGAGTGGCCCGGCAGCTTCCGAGGCTCCAGGTACGTCTTCTTCTGCTGCGTCAGCTTCGGCAGCACGATCGGCGAAGGAACGAAGTCCCGAGAGGCCGTCGGTGGGGTCTTGTGTGTTGGCAAGGTTGTCCAGGTAATGCTGCAGAGTCAGTCGTTCGTAGAAGATAACGTCTCGTGATGCCACCGTGTTTTTGTCTTGTATGTCGAGAATTTTCCACGCGTGAAAATGTTTCGCGATGCCGAGGTGGAGTCCCCACCGAGCTCGTTGTGTGAAGCGTCCTGCTCGGGCTGTGTGGGGTCTGTACTGTACCATGCAGCCAAAGACTCTGAGTAATTTTGTGCTGCCCCTTTTTCTTGTCCACAACAGGTGCGGTGATGCGTTGTTGGGAAGTGATGACGAGGACAGCAGGTTGTGCAGGTGAACAGCATGTGTCATCGCGTCTGGCCACAGTGTGGTTGGCAGTCGCATCCCCTGAAGAAGTTTTCGCATCGTCGTCTGCAAGGTCCGATTCATGCGTTCTGCTACCCCCTGCTGTTGGTGAGCATAGGGCAGGGACACCAGGCGTCTGATTCCCCTTTCCGCCAGATAGGTCCTGAAGCGTTGTGACTGGTATTCCAGTGCACCGTCTGACTGGAAGCTCTTGAGTTTGAGTCCTGATTCTCGTTCGGCGATGGGGAGCCATGTTTTGAAGGCTTCGAAGGCTTGGTCGCGCGTTTTGAGATTGAAGTGCCAGACATATCTGGTTGCGGCGTCGATGAAAGTGATGACGTAGTTAAAGTCGGCTTCGGCGTCGTCTCGAGGCATGTTTAAAATATCGCTGTAGACTTTTTCCATCGGAGCGTAAGTAGGTGCGCTTGGGTTGTGATGGGATGGAAAAGGTTGATGAGGAAGATCTGCTTCGGGGCATGTGAAGCACCGTGCGCGTGGTCGTCGAAGTTCTTGACCGCTCGTCGTCAGAAGGGCGTTGCGTTCTAACACCTCTGCTTGGATTGTTTGAAGTATTGTGCTGTTTGCAGGGTGTCCGAGGCGTTGGTGCCAGATGTCGTCGGGAGCACGGTGACCGGGCGAGCGGTGGTAGATGTCGGCGTTGGAGAAGAACGCGACGACTGAGGCGGGACTTCGACAAGCTTCTCGTGTGGCGGGCATAAGTTGGTCTGCTTCCGTTGGCGGTCCTCGTGTTGATGGTGGTGGTACTCGGCTGGGTCCTGCTGCCGATACTGCAGGTGATGGTTTTGTTGGGACACTTGCGGGTACTTGTCTTTCTTGTCTGATAACTGCTAATGCTCGTGTTCTCTCTGCTGCAGGTATGGTGTTGGAGTGCCAGAAGCCGTCACTGTCGAAGTCGGGATCAAGATCCGGCGGGTGAGTCCAGGCGGCGAACGATACGATGCCATCGCTGTCGGCAGTTCCGCGGTCGGGGACGAAGTCCAACACGAAGACACCGGACTTCAGGAGGGCACGACCGATGAAGAGGCCGCCCTTCCCGTGGTAAAGCCGGAACTCGTTGGAGTAAGAGTCGCACTCCAGGTGAATCCCTTTGGCCATTAGTTGGCTTACGCTTAGTAGATTGTATCCCAGGTTGTCGACAATGAGCACTTTGTTGAGCTGCAGTATTACGTTTGTTTCCATGGATTGTAACTGAACCACGCCTTGTCTGTTTGTCTTCAGGTTTTCGTTGTTGGCGACTGTGATGACGACGTCGCGGTTGAGTCGTTTCTCCTGTTGCACGAAGCGTCCAGAGGAGCACATGTGTTGACCGCAGCAGCTGTCCAAGAACCAGGTGTTTCGCCCGGTGGGTTCGGCGTTGGCGACTGCAGCGTATGTCGGGTTGACCTGAAGTCCTTGCGAGCGCGGCGGCGGGAATTCCTCTTCGTCTGGTGCGTAAGTGGGTGGTGAACCGGGTGCGCAGTTGTCGATGTGTACCATGCAGTTGATGATGTTGGGTGTTTGTTGTGCAGATGTTGAAGAGCGCCTTGGAGGACTTGCTTGAGTGGAAGTGACTTGTGGGTCTGCTGCACGGTAAACGCGAGGGCGGTTGCAGTTGACTTTGGAGTGCCCGGAAGTCTGGCAGTTGTGGCAGAACGGCGGTACGATGGTGAGTCCTCGGTTGTCGCGTTGATCTTGCTTGCTGCGTCGGTTGTAGTTGTTGTCATTTCTTCTTTGAGTGTAGAAGACTAACTGCTGTTGCTTCCTTGGTTGTCTTTCCTCGAACAGATCCATCTCCTGTTGTTCAGCGTGAAGCTCGGCGCAGAGGTGCATCTCCGAAATTCTTCCGTGGGCTCGAAGAAGTGATCGTGTGGTTCTCCATTCTGGCCCGAGCCCGGCGAGGACAAGTGTCACGAAGCTTTCTTCAGTGATCGTTCCTCCGCACCGAAGCAGGCGGTCGCGGAGGGTCTGGCAGCGACTCATATACTGCATCGCTTTTTCCCCGGTCTTCATCTGTATTGTTGTCAGCTGTTGCATGAGTCTGCTTTGTGTCACGCTGTCGTTTGCTTGGTAAAGGCACTTGAGGTGGTGCCATGCGAGCTCCGCGGAGTTTCCATAACTCCGATACGTTCTGATGCTCTGCTGCTCTTGTGGTGACAGGTTTCTCAGGAGTACCGTGTACGCCAGCAGCGACTGATATGTGAAGATCTCTTGTTCCTTCCCAGTGCCGTTGCTTGGGAATGGCAGGGACCCGTTGAAGTATCCCAGAAGATGCGCGGCCTCCATCAGCAGCTCGAACTCGAAGCTCCAGGTAAAGAAGTCGTGTCCGTTGAACGGTGAGGATGTCTGAAGTTTGATCACGTGTGAGAACTGCGCCTGTAAACTTAAGATTTCATTCGGTGTTTGTTGTGATGCAGCTGCTGTTGGCTGGGCACGGGGCGGCATGAATTCGAACGTCCCCGGCGAAGAATGATAAGGCGCAAAGGTAGGCGCTTGGTTGTGTCGCCCGAAGGATGAGTTGTTGAGGCTCATCGGTGCTAATCCCATATTCCCTCCATTGCTCTGTGTTGATTGCGCAGGTGTCCTTGTCTGCTGCTGCTGGTCGAAGTGTGACATGAAGCTGAAGAATCTCTCCATGAGATTCGGGTCCACACTTGAAGAGGGAGACGGAGTCACCATCTCTGGTACTCTTCCCGTTGTTTCTTGAGCAGTCCCGGTCTCTGTCTGCAGTCCTGAGGTGTGCAGACCAGAGTTGCCGTGTTGAGTTTCTTGGGCGCTGGGTGAGCCCGTAGAGACTTTCTTGCCCTTGTTGTCCATGTCTTGTAATCAATGGAGTTGTTGAATCAAGTTGAGTTGCTGGTTGTTGATGGAGTGTAGTTGCTGGGAGTTTGGTCTCTGACCAGCTCTCATACCATGTTGGGCTGAGAAAAGCCCTTAGGATCTTTTGCAGAGACTAAGTTCCAGCTGTGGAGACTTGAGACTTGGAGTAGTGCAGCGGAAGTTGAGGCAGTTGAACCCTTGTACTAGTATATGAGAACAAGTGATTGATTAAAGAAACAAGCATACAGCAATATATAGAAGATAAGAAAGCAGTTGCAGAGTACAGTTACAGGAACGGTTTATCGAGTCGCATAGCGACTCGATTGCCGCTTCGGTTACCATCCGTGATGCTGTAACGGTCAGTCGCAACCTCCAGTTGCGACCTTTCGGGTCTTTTCGCATTCTTTGTCCGCCCCCTCGTGTAACCTCCGTTGACTCGCGTGCTCCCCTGTAGTCTTCCTCGAGTGTAGTGTTACACTTCAGAAACGCTTAAGTTCTTTGAGATATTTCCAACAGACAGGAACTTAGAGCCAAATATTGGATTCTGATCTGGACTCGGGTTATCTGGCTGCGGCTCTAGAGGCTCTTCTGGAGAGATTATCTGGCTGTAGAATGTTGGGGGGCTGTTACTGTCCAGCCGTGGCATCATGTGGTGGCCATAGGTGGTCTATGCATCTGGGGCAGAGTTCAAGTCTCGGTAGATCCACAGCTGGTGTAAGTATAGCGGATTCAAAACGCTCCAAATGATCCTCACTGCTGGGAAGTAGGTGATTGGTTGAGCTGGAGTATGGTATGGATGAACCAATGATCACCATATTATGGTTACATTATCCCCACATGTACGCCGGGTAGGCTTCCATCTCCTTGGCCACTACCAGTGACAGCTCTTCAGCCATCTCATCCTGCCCTCCAGCAAAGTTGTACGCCCTGAAAGCGAACTGAAAGCAGCGCCACAAGAGGAACAGACCTGCCTTGACCCGGGTGACCTCGTACACGGGAATGCGCCCATCCACCAGCTCCACTGACGCCCTCAGCTTCATGCTCTCCTGCACACACAAGAAAGCACACGGGGGGTGCGTTCACGGCTGAGGTTCAGGGTTCAGGGTTCACGTTCAGGGTTCAGGGTTAAAGTTTAGGGTTCAGGGTTCAGGGTTCATGTTCAGGATTCAGGTTCAGGGTTCAGGTTCAGGGTTCAGGTTCAGGGTTAGGGATTTGCATCAGTTCTGTATCCATAAATGGTTTTCCCAGACCCATGCGTTTTGGTTAAAACAGGCATCAGCACAAGAAGCTCAGGGTTGTCTCTGCTACACATGAAACAGCTGCATCACACGTCGTGAATCCACCAGAAACTGCTCACGCATGTGGGTTTTACCTGGGAAGGAACCTGAAAGCCTCGCCTGAGCAGAAAGTTCCACCAGGCAGGAAGAGAGCCGCATAGCCGCTGCCTTCACTCTCTCAATGGCGCCACTGCTATACGGCAGCCACTGCAGTACCACACACCACTCTCGATTGTCCCACTGCATACCTTCCTCCCCCCCCAACCTCACCTGCTGTCACTTACCTGAGCTGAGAGCTCCAGCAGTCGGGAGGAGAGCCGCACAGCCGCTGCCTTCACTCTCTCAATGGCGCCACTGCTGTCCGGCAGCCTCTGCACCGCGAACCACATGCAATTGTCCCATTCCATCCCCCCCAAGGGCGCTCACCTGAGCAGAAAGTTCCAGCAGGCGGGAAGAGAGCCGCACAGCCACTGCCTTGACCCTGTCAATGGAACCACTGCTGCAGCCCCTCCGCCGCAAATTGCATACCATCCTTGACGGACCCACTGCCTCTATCTCTTCAACCTCACCGGAGGCGCTTACCTGAGCCGAAAGTTCCAAGAGGCGGGATGAGAGCCGCACAGCCGCTGCTTTCACTCTGTCGATGGCGCCGCTGCTATATGGCAGCTTCTGAGCAGCATAGCGCTTGGCATCCTCCTCCCTCGTCCGCTCCACCGCCTCCACCTCCTTCCTCACGCGGTCAAACAGCCGCTCACACCTGCCCAGTGCCCACAAACGCACATGGAATGGCAGCACACACTCAATTCCACGTGCGTTTGTGGGCACGCACACACTTGAATCTATCTTTCTTCATCCCTCAACCGCTCCACTGCTTCCACCTCCTTCCTCACGCGGTCAAACAGCCGCTCACACCTGCCCACAAACACACATGGATTGGAAGCACACACTCATTCTATCTTTCTTCCTCCCTCAACCGCTCACACCCGTGCGGGCAAGCAGACAAGCAAAAACCCAAGTAAAAGGCATGGCACCCGAGAGGTGTTCCCTCATAACGCTTGGCATCCTCCTCCCTCCCTTGCCCGCTCCACTGCCTCCACCTCCTTTTTGCACGCGCTCGAACAGCCGCTCACACCCACCTGTCCAGGCATGCGCCCACTGCCGCCACAGACGCCGGTGTGGCCTGTGAGTCGCCGCCACAGTCGCCCCCCATGGGCACTGCAGCCAGCAGGTCGCGCGAGAGGGCAATGAGGCGCGAGTGCAGGGATGCGGCGGCGCGGAGCATGTCCAGCTTGCTGCTGGGGAAGCCCTCGTAGCGCTGCAGCACCTGAAAGGGGTACAATGGAACGGGAGAGAAAAGTGGTGGTGGTTAGGCGCGAGTGCAGGGGGTGCGGATGAGCTGAGAATCTCAAGCTTGCTTCTTGCCACCTGAGTGTCATCGGTCAAGTCTTGCAGACGAGTCTTTCTTTAGAAATCTAAAAAATGACTCCATCGGTCAAGCCGAGTGTAATCGGCGAAGACTTGCAGAACCACCAGCGACTCCATCCGGGCTCGGGACGCCACCAGCTCAAAGGGTGAGTCTCGTGCAACTCCCCACATCTCGCTTACCTGAGTACCATAGACTTCCCTCCGTCTCACATACCTGTGTCTCGTCAGTCAAGTCCTGCAGGAGCGCCTCCATCTTGCCTCGGAACTCCACCAGCTCGTCAAGTCGACTACTGCTTGAAGCTGAGTCTCACAGACTTCCCTCCATCTCGCTCACCTGAGTCTCACAGACAGACTTCCCTCCATCTCGCTCACCTGAGTCTCACAGACTTCCCTCCATCTCGCTCACCTGAGTCTCGCAGACTTCCCTCCATCTCGCTCACCTGAGTCTCACAGACTTCCCTCCATCTCGCTCACCTGAGTCTCACAGACTTCCCTCCATCTCGCTCACCTGAGTCTCACAGACTTCCCTCCATCTCGCTCACCTGAGTCTCACAGACTTCCCTCCATCTCGCTCACCTGAGTCTCACAGCCTTCCCTCCATCTCGCTCACCTGAGTCTCACAGACTTCCCTCCATCTCGCTCACCTGAGTCTCACAGTCTTCCCTCGCTCTCACCTACCTGAGTCTCGCCAGTCAGGTCCTGTAGGAGGAGCGACTCCAACTTGCCTCGGAACGCCACCAGCTCGTCGACACGGCTGCTGCAGAAACTCTTCTACTGTGAGCTGCTTGAAGCTGAGTCTCGAAGACTTCCCTCGGTCTCACCTACCTGAGTCTCGTCAGTCAGGTCTTGCAGGAGCGCCTCCATCTTGCCTCGGAACGCCACCAGCTCGTCAAAATCGGCGGTCTGGAAGGCCTCCAACTCAGCTTTTGCTTGCCAGATGGCGTCAGAATGTTTCACCACGTCAGCCTCTATCTGCTGGAAATACGCTGAGCTGGAAGGGGTGGAAAAAAGGGAAAAGGGACCGAAATTCAGGTGAGTGAGGCAACAGAGGACACAAGGGAGTCAAGGAAATGGAAAGGCAGAATGGGTTATGCTATATGAGAATTCCAAGAAAAACCCTGCAACTCTATGGGACGAGGAAATAACCTCACGCTCTTGGTAAATAGGACTCACTTCTGGTGAATAGCACTCACTTTTGGTGAATAGCACTCACTTCTGGTGAATGGCACTCACTTTTCGTGAATAGCACTCACTTCTCGTGAATCGCACTCACTTTTCGTAAATAGCACTCTTTTCGTGAATAGCACTCACTTTTTTGTTAATAGCACTCACTTTTGGTGAATTTCCGCCAGTGCCAGTGCGATCGACACCCTCCCCCCGCCTTGCGGCCTCCCCCTCGCTCGCACTGCCCCACCTCCTGCACCTCCTCCTCCCCCTCCCGCACCTCCCCCACCCCCCACTCCCACACCTCCCCCTCCCCCTCCTTCCCCAAATGTCTGTGCGCCTGCAATGGCCTGCTCCACTCGGCTCTTGAGCCCTCGATACAGGTGCCCCATTCTGTTGGACCGCCGCAATCCCCCTTCCCCCCTTCCTCCGCCCCCTCCCCCTGCCCCTCCCCCCGCTCGTGCCCCTGATTCTCCCCCTCCCCCTGCCCTTGCTGCTGCAACCGCCCCTGCCTGAGCCCTTTGGGCGGAAGGGGAGGGGGGAGGAGGGGGGCGCGGGGGAGGGGGGGGAGCGGAGAACCGAGGATCCCCGAACGAGGGAGAGAGGTTTGGGAGAGAAAAGGAGGCAGGGATATGAGAGGAGGAGAGGGATGGGGGACGCGGGGGAGGGGGTGGGGGTGGCGTTGGAGCGCGGCCAGGGGGAAGGGGAGGCGGAGGGGGAGGTGGAGGGGCTGCTACTCCTGCTGCTCCTCCTTGCGCCTCCTCCTCCTCCTGTTCCTTCTTCTTCTTGGCTGCTTCCGCTGTCGCCACTGCTGCCAGAACTGCGGACCGCGCCCCTCCCCTCCCCCCTGCTCTGGATTCTGCTTGTGGGGGCGGAGGGGAGGCTTTAAGGGACGAAGAAGGTGGAGGGGGAGGAGGTGGGCCCCCCCCTGCCTGCAACCTCCCTTCTGCTCTTGGTGCTGCTGCTCCTCCTCCCTTCCCTGCTGCTGCTGCTGCTGCTGCTGATTGCTGTGGCGGAGGTGGAGGGGGAGGCAGGGAGGAGAGCAGGGAGGGGGGCGAAGCAGCAGAGACGGCGAGTCTGCCTCCCGAGCCCCATCCCCCCCCTCCACCTGCTGCTGCTGCTGCTGCTCTCGCTCTGGTTCCTCTGCTCATGCTGCCACCACTCCTTCCACCAGCACCCGAAGCAGCGCCAGCAGCAGCACCAGGAGCACCAGCAGTACCGACATTACCAGCAGCAACTGCAGCACCGGAAGCAGCAGCAACAAGAGCTGCCGCATCAGGCCTAGGAGTGATCACAGCACCAGAGGCACCAGCAGCAATGGCAGCAGCAGCATCGAAACGAGCACTGGCAGCAGCAGTAACAGCAGCAGCAGACAAACTCCCGGCCGCCTTCCTTGCTGCCGCTACTGCCGCACCTACTGTCCCTCTTCCCACTCCCTCCACCTCCCCTCGCACCTCCCTCATACCTCTGCCGTCCGCCCTAAAAGCTTCATCGGTGAAAGAAACAGCTTCAGCTAGTGACAAGGACGCAGGGAGGGGGCTGGAGCTGCGAGTGATGAGGGCAGCCGCGGAGGGGGAGGAGGATGGAGGCGGGACGCCTGAAGAAGAAGAGAAGAAGGATGGGAGAGCGAGAGCGCGAGGAGTGACAGTAGAAGAACGAGGGCCAGTAGAGGCTCCAGAAGTGCCGGATTTGGCAGCAGTGGATGCGGACAAGGCAGCCACAAGAGGAGCTTTGAGTCCGTTTCTTTCCGGTTGATGAGACGAGAGGTTTAGGGGAGGAGGGAGGAAAGCAGGAGGATGGAACGTGGGTGGAGAGGGAGGGGACGGAGGGGGGGAAGGGGCGGGCAGAGAAGGAGGGGAGAGAGGAGGGGAAGCAGAAGCAGGCAACCTGCGCATGTCACCACTAGCAGCACCACCAGTAGCAGCAGAGGCTGCACCAGCAGCACTAGCAGCAGCAGCATAAGCAGCAGCACCACCAGCGGCAGAACTAGCAGCGGCGGCTACTGTGGCTTGGAGAAGCGAAGCGTTCCTTGGGGTGTCTGGGCGAACAAAGCTCGGAAGCTCAAACGACACTGGCGGAAACTCGTCTCCCCTCACATCAGCACCCCCTTGCCGTCCTGCGCCCACCTCCTCACCCCACCGCCCCCACCCCCCTCCCCTCTCCCAAACCCCTCCATCCGCTCCTCTTCTTGGGACTTGATTGGTCCTCAAACCGGCTTCCGAGCCTGAGGCGGAGTTTGGGAGAGGCTCGGCCGAAGCTGAGGCGGAGGCTGGGGAGGAGAGGCGGCGGGTGGCCTGTTGTTGGAATTGGTCCATCTTGCGAAGAATGCGCTGCCCTGCATAAGGGGGGGAGGGGGGAGGAGGGAGGAGGAGGGGGGAGGAGGAGAGGGGGTGGGAAGTACGAACACTGTGTTAAAGGAGGGGCGGTGGGTTGCTTGCTGTTGGAAGTCTGGTAATTCACCAGGCACTAGCTTAACTGGTATTAAGTGGCCGAACCAGGCAGCCGTCCCAGGTGACTTTTGAGTCGACTAGGTGTCTTCTGAGTTGACTTAAAAGTCGCCTCAAAACAAAGTCTCATAGCATAACGGGTATAAAGTGACTGAACCAGGCAGCCATCGAAGGAGGCATCAGGGTTGCGAGTGTGAGATTTAAGAATGAAGATTAGAGGCAAAACGATTAGCGGCCTCCCGATAAGAGGCCTCCCGATTAGAGGCCTCACGATTAGAGGCCTGGACTGGACTCACCCAGGGACTCAAGTGTGAGTGGCTGTTCTGCTCCTCTGACACCGACAATGCTGCTGCTCCTGATCCGCTGATAATAGTTCAGTTTTGAGTCGTTTCAAAAACAGTAGGCCTGGACTGGACTCACCAAGGGACTCGAGTGTGAGTGGCTGTTCCTCTGACACCGACAATGCTGCTGCTCCTGATCCTCCTCCCCTTCCTCCTCCCCATCCTTCCCCCCATCCTCCCCCCCTCACCGCACTCTTTTCCTTGCTTTGCCTGCTCCTGCTGCTTCTGTTGCTTCTGTTGCTGCTGCTGCTGCTGCTGCTTTGGCCAAAGGGGTCTGCTCTTACGCTGCCTTTCCTCCCACCTGCACTGATTCTCTTGCTTCGATCAGGCTGCTGAGAGCGGGGTGAGAACGGGGGGGTGGCTGACTGAGGGGGGTTGGTCGACCGGAGATTGGAGAAGGAGCGGGAGGAGGAGAGTAGGGAGGTGGAGGAGGAGTGAGTGAGGGGACGAACCGAGGGGGAGAGCAGGCGAGCAGAGTGCATTCTCGAGTCATCTGCAGCGGATTGCTGATCGGAGGCTCTCTTCTGCTGCGCCCATGCGTCCTCCGTGCTGCAGAGCGTGGAGTAGAAGGCCTCCAGGCGCTGAGCCAGCGGCTGCTGCTGCTGAGGGCCCATGGAGTGGTGCGGCGCACCCGTGGGGTGGTGGTGGTGTGCAACCACAGAGTGGTGTGGTGCCATCTCCTTGTGTGACTGCCGGGTGAGGTTGTGTGAGGGCGCGTTAGGGAAGGCCTCCATTGTGCTCTCGAGCATCTGAGGTGGGGGCACGGGGAGCAAGGGACGAGGGAGCATTTCCTGACCCGCCACGACACGATCTGAATCTGGGGCGCAGGGGGGAGGGGGAGGCGAGGACTGCTATTGAAGCCTCACCACGCAAACCTACCTCCCTCTCATACTCTCAACGGCACGTCACAGAGGCAAGGCTTTGTAGTTTTTTTTTTTTTTTTTTTTGTAACCGCCTTAAAGTTACACTCCACGGTGGGTGGGCCAGTAAATCCCCTGCCTGCCCAGCTGTGATTTGCCTCACACTCAACAGCATACCCAATCCTCCTCACACCAGCGTCCTCTTTGTCCGCCCCATGTCTTTACCTCCTGCGCACCAAATATCCCTCTCAGTCGATCGCCAGCTCTCTCTCACGCCTTTCCTCAAGCTCACGCCTTTACTCACATCCTCTACATCCAAGCCAAACCCAACCCGCCCCTTATACTCACGTCCTGTATGTCAACATCATTCTCCGGCTCTGGCAGTTTCAGGGGTGTCCGTAGAGAAATGATTCGCCTGGACCCACCTCACGGTTCAACGCAGCAGCATGCTCGCTCGCTACTATTCCTTTCCCTGTGCACCCAATCACTCACGTCCTGTATGTCCACGTCGTTCTCCGGCTCTGGCAGCTTCAGCGACGTCCGTAAAGAAATGATTCGCCTCCTGAGTTCAGCCAGCACTACCAGCCCGCCCAGCCATCCGTGCCCCTCCGCCCGTTGCTGCAGCGGGGAAGGGAGGGTGGAGGGGGGTGGGTTGCAAGGGTAGCAGGCGTAAGAACACTTTCAAATGATTCGCCTCCTTAGTTCAGCCAGCACCACCAGCCCGCCCGGCGCCCAGCCACCCGTGCCCCTCCACCGGTTGCTGCAGATGGAAGGGAGGAAAGGGGAGGCGAGGGCGGAACAATGGGAGGAAAGGCGAGGGCGGAAAAATGGGAGGAAAGGGGAGGCGAGGCCGGAACAATGGGAGGAAAGGGGAGGCGAGGGCGGAACAATGGGAGGAAAGGGGAGGCGAGGGCGGAACAATGGGGGGAAAGGGGCGAAAAGCACAGCACGGGGAAGTGATTCGCCTCCTTAGTTCGGCCAGCACCACCAGCCCGCCCGGCGCCCAGCCACCTGTGCTCCTCCACCCGTTGCTGCAGTGGGAAATGGAGGGTGGGGAGGGGTAGCAGGCGTAAGAACACTTTCAAATGATTCGCCTCCTCACTTCATCCAGCACCACCGGCCCGCCCTGCCACCCATGCCTCTCCACCCGCTGCTGTGCAGAGGGGAGGGAGGGTGAGAGGGTTGGGGAGGGGAGTAGGGGTGGGTTGCAGGGGAAACAGGCACAAGAGGGGAGGGTAGAGCCATGAATCGCCTTGTCAGTTCTGGCAGCACCACACCAGCAAGCAGCCCAGCCACCCATGCTGACTTTTGAGTCGACTCAAGAATCACCTTGTCATTCTGGCAGCACCACACCAGCAAGCAACCCAGCCACCCATGCTGACTTTTGAGTCGACTCAAGAATCGCCTTGTCAGTTCTGGCAGCACCACACCAACAAGCAGCCCAGCCACCCATGCTGACTTTTGAGTCGACTCAAGAATCGCCTTGTCATTTCTGGCAGCACCACACTAGCAAGCAGCCCAGCCACCCATGCCATGCCCCTCCACCCTTACCTGTAGAGAAGAGGAAGGGCGGTGGCACATGCAGCAGCGAACCACTGTAGCAGCACAGAGGGAGCATCACCACCAACGCACTGGTGCAGAACTCAGAGTCGAGTTGGCGCAAGTGCCAGAGGTTCAAATCCAGCCGCTCTTGCAAGGGCAGGGCAGGGGGAGTGACCGTGCATGTGTATCTACAAGGATAAGAGGATGAAAAACAGCTGCGCGTGCAGCAAAACATAGCAGCAGCACTCACGGAGTCGAGCTGGTGCAGGTGAGAGAGGTTGACGTCCAGCCTCTCTTGCAGGGGCAGCGCATGGGGGGCGACCATGCACTCCGCATCGGGTCCCAGTGCGGCAAAAAGCTGCCTCTCTGCTTCGCTCACGCCCTCCTCCAGTGCTGTGCGCTGGCCTACAGCTTCCTGCACTGCCTGTAATGCGAGAGACAGGAGAGGAGAGGAATCGAAGGGAAAAGGAAATGCACTCAGCATCGGGTCCCAGCGCATCCAGCAGCCTCTGCTCCGCCGCCCTCACGCCCTCCTCCAGTGCTCTGCTGCCTGCTGCACTGCCTGCAGTGTGAGGGCATGAGGGGCAGGAGGGCCAGGAGGGGTCGAAAGGAGGGGAAATGGATTACTGTGCAAAATGACCTTACTTGCAGGGCACTTAGTTAAGTGGTTGAAAGTATTGCATGGCATGAAGCAGCACTGGAAACACACAATCCACGTCATCACATCACACACTTCACCTTCTCGTAGGCCTTATCCACGGCATCTGCAACGGCCAATCGTAGCTCCTCTGAGCGAGTCACCTTGTCCTCCCCTATCTCCTGAGGAAGAGAGAGGGAGAGAGAAAAGGCGGAGAGAGAGAAGAGAAAGCAAGACGAGAAAAGGGGGGTGGAAGGTGGGAGAGAAAGGAATGAGAAAGAGAACAAGGGAGGGATGAAGGACGTGGGAGAGAGGGTGGGAGTTCAGAGAGGCATGCTCCCTCACCCCATCCTCCCCTCATCCCATGCTCCCTCACCCCATCCTCCCCTCATCCCATGCTCCCTCACCCCATCCTCCCCTCATCCCATGCTCCCTCATCCCATCCTCTCCTCATCCCATGCGTCCCACCTCCCATATGACATGCAGCTCCGCCTCCCAGTCGCCGTGTCTCAGCGACGCCTCGTCCAAACTCTTGTGCGCGTTGAACAGCGTCTTCAGCTCACCTCCCTCCTTTCGATCTCACCCACCGTCTACCTTGTAACGCACCTCCCAGATGACGTGCAGCTCCGCCTCCCAGTCACCGCGTCTCAGCGACGCGTCGTCCAGGTTCTTGTGCGCGTTGAAGAGCGTCTTGAGCTTGGGCACCTTGGGGCCGCACTGCCCCACGCCCGCCTCGCACTTGCACCAGCAGTGACTCATTGTAGACTAATTCGTGGATACAGGGTCATTCGAGCGGCCACATGAGACTCGACTGTGAGACTCGCCCGCGAGGAAGGCAACGATCAAAGAGCGCAGGCCTCGGCAGTTAATGTAGGTGTTTTTTGAGAATGGAAAAAAAAAGGCACCTGCTTTTTTAGAATTCTCTGAAAACACCTGCGTTTTGAGAGTTCTCTTTAAACGCCCGCGAGGGAAGGCAACGAAAAAGGAGCGCAGGCCTCGGCAGTCAATGGGTACCTCTGGGATTGAACTTCAATCTACCAGTGCGAGAACCAAGAGGGTATTCGCCGCTGACAGTCCTGTGATCAGCGCGTAAAACCGAGATTGAGTCTTCCCATCGCGCAAATAAAACACTCGATAGAGCTGATCCTCCAAGTAAGATTCTGGTCACGCGAGCTGCTGTGCTTGTTGCGAGGCAAATGCGATCAGGCCGTGAACAGGAGATAAGGCCGTGGTCGGATCGGATGGAAAGTGAACTCGAGTGCGATGAAACCAGATTCTAGTTTCTAGAGTGAGGCGATGGTCGGGGGGGTCAGGATTCAGGAAGGAATCGTTAGGAGGCGGCTTTTTCAGACGGCGTTGCCGAATCCGGGAATCTCGATGTTTGGGGATCGCCGTAAGCGGCTCCGTTATCCGGCGGTATTGTAAGTCATGTCACCTCACACAAAATCACAAGCCGATATCAAGCATCCATTAACGCATAGCTAGGGTTTACGTTTCTTACTCCCATAGCTCATCTACACCTGTCATTGCACAGCGGCTCAAAGCTAGGACCAAACCAAACCTAACACAAATTTATTAATAATACAAGGTATACCAAGCCTTACTATCATATTTTCAATCTTGACACAAACTTGGTACCACCCAGTGCTGCCAGCTCAGCAGCCACCGAAGTCACCATTCCCTTGAGCTCATCCTTCCTATCTGACACAGGGGCCTCTAAACTGTCCTCTACAGTCAATGGAGCCAAGGGGGTCAAAGCAGGAGCAGGAGTCTGTGCAGGCATCATTGCCCTGGCTGGACCCACACTCCAACTGTCAGCTACAGGTCCATCGGTGCTGCTGATATCACTGCTCCCACTGCCCCCACTGCTCCCACTGCTGCCATTTTCACTGCAACTCCCCCCGATGCTGATGCACCCAGATCCACCCCCCCCCACGCCTGCTCCCCCCACTCCTGCTCTCGCCTGCTCCTCCTGCTGCAGCAATTGCAATTCCATCAACCCACTCCCACGTCCCCGCACCGCCCCCACTCTCTGCCGGGGCACAGTCGCATGCCCCCACGCCGCAATACACGCCCTTGTCGCCCTTCTCACGTCCTCGTCCCTCGCCCCCCCCAGCCCACAGAGCGCCGACTGCAGCACGGGCGCCGAGTCCAAGAACTGGAAGTGCCCCGCGTCTCGCAGCACCACCTCCCAGCTGGGGTTACCCGCCTCTTTAAAGAACCAGCGGTAGTTGGAGGCGGCAGGGGCGCAGTCGCCGGGGTACCCCCCGCCCACGACGAGTGTGGGGAGGGAGAGCGCGAGGCCCTGGTTGGCGGGGTGCGCGTCGGCCAGCAGGTGCTCGATGGCACTGGTGCCCGCCCGCATGGCTGCCACGGCTGAGGGGTATCCGGGGGCCAGAGGTGCATAGACTGGAGGGGGGAGGGGGGGGAAGAAAGAGGGGGGGGGGGGGCGGGAGAGTGGAGACAGGGAAGGCATAGCAGAGGGACGCATATGAGACTACTATCAGGACGCTCGATGGCTAGCAGGTGCTCGATGGCGCTGGTGCCCACCTGCATGGTTGCCACAGCTGACGGGTACCCTTGGACCAGAGGAGCGTAGACTGGAGGGAGAGGGGGAAGGGGAGGGATAGGGAGGGATAGGGAGGGAGAGGCCAGGGGATAGAGGATTGATGGTGCTGGTGTCGGCTCGCATGGCTGCCACCGCTGACGGGTACCCAGGGGGGCCAGAGGCGCGTAGACTGGAGGGAGAATGTTGGAGCCTACAGAATGCTCAGCAGCTTTGGGTTCATCAATTGGACTCGTCCTGGCGCCCAGAACAGCCACTGCTACTGACATGTAGGGCGGAGAAAGATGTCAGCAGCAGTACGCCAGGGAAAGAGGCTCCATGGCCTGAGCAACCGATACAAGCAGAGGAAGACTGTGCCACCGAGTCACAACGAACATTGTGCCACCAGTAACATTGTGCCACCAGTAAGATTGGGCCACCAGTAAGATTGTGCCACCAGGAACACTGTGCCACCAGGAGCATTGTGCCACCAGGAACATTGTGCCACCAGGAATATTGTGCCACCAGGAGCATTGTGCCACCAGGAACATAGTGCCACCAGGAACATTGTGCCACCAGGAACATTGTGCCACCAGGAACATTGTGCCACCAGGAACATAGTGCCACCAGGAGCATTGTGCCACCAGGAGCATTGTGCCACCAGGAGCATTGTGTCACCAGGAACATTGTGCCACCACGAACATTGTGCCACCAGGAGCATTGTGCCACCAGGAACATTGTGCCACCAGGAAGATTGGGCCACCAGGAAGACGAGCTTCCTTGTGCTGCCAGCCAACTCACTTGTGTTATCGACAGGGTCCACCAGTCCCAGCGATAGCACTCTAGGGTCCATAGCTGCTGCGAGCACGCTAACCTTAGCTGCAGGCATCCATGGGGATGGGGAGGCATCGGGATGCATACACACACCGGGAGGGAATAGTGAGATGAGATACGGGTGTACAAGCACTCAGACATGTACGCGCACGCACAAATAGAGAATGCATATGGACGTATAGTGTAGAGAAAGCGAGGGCTTACCCCCTCTGGAGTGGCCGCAAAGATACACCCGCGTGTTGTCTGCTATCCTGCGAAGCACATGGCTGGAAGGGAGGGGAAGTGCATGCAGCCAGGAGCAAGGCCTTGAGAAACACGGCGGCTGCAGCATTTGGGCGGTAGGCGAATTAGAGATGAGCTGCGGCTGCATGGGATCATGAGAATTACAGACAAGCATTTAATGCCATACACTCGCCACCACCTGGTGCCAGCCCAGATGACGAGCTCTGTTATGAATCGCGACCTTGCTGTATCACCTGGTGCCATGGACGCACACCTTGTGCCACAGACTCAAGCAGTACCTGGTGCCTTGAACGCACCTGGTACCAGCCCAGTTGATGAGCTCAGTGATGAATCGCGCACAGATGATGTCATCTAGCGGCCCCATCAGTCCCTCCACCTGGGGGCGTTGGGGGGGTTGTGGGGGGGGGGGGGGGGGTGTTGCGTGTTCGTGTCAGAGGCGCCATGATGCAGCAGTTATGATGACACATGCATGTGGCACATCGGCTCCGTCATTCTGCCATACATTCATATGTGTACATGTGCGCATCGGCACTGTATGGATGTCTGTAAACTGCACAACAAAGTGAACAGCCGTCTACAGGTGCTTCACCACTGTGCATCGATACCCATTCACTCACTGACATGTGTCAAGTCGGATGGAAAATCACGTGGGACAGGCATCACAGATCTTGGGTCAAAATGACAGGCACAAATAGTCGCATGCCTTGTTGTAAGTGACGACGGCAAAGCCCCAACTCGCCAGGTGCTCCGCATAACTGCGGTACTGTGCCGAGTCCAGCAGGAATCCGCTGCTGAACACCGCCAGCGGGAACTTGTCCTCCTGCGAGTAGCAGGGGGGGGCAGGGAGGGGTAGCAACGGGGGGTGAACGTCTTGCATGAGAGGTAGAGACCAGCAGGAATGCACTGCTGAACATCGCCAGGGGGAACTCGCTCTCCTGGAGGAGCTGCAGGAGGAGTGAGTAAGCGAGCAACAGTCGGGAGGTTGAGTGGGGGGGTGAGGGGGGTGAGGGGGATGAGGGGTGCGAGGACAGGTGGCAACAGTTGGCCGCACCTGTAACGAGTATTGAGGCGTCCATGCCGTGTGGCGCATTCTCGCTGGGTAGGTCACCGTTATTCGCAACAAGCAGCCGCCTGCGCACACATGATCAACGCAAAAACAACCGCCTCAGCATATGAGCTTGTACAACTAAGCCCTTGCAGCTTGGCTGCTGAACCCCGACCAGAGTGTGGATGTGGGGAGGTGAAAATCAAATAAGCGAGTAAAACGGACGGCGGGCGAAAACAGCCAGAATCAAACAAAGAGCGATGGAAATAACAGCCTTCAAGCACGTCGTGGCTTAGACTCTCATGCCAATCGAAATGATGCAGACCACCCAAACCCAGCTGGTATTAACAGCCCTTGCTACCTCCACTAACCTGCTGCGCAGTCCGGGAAGCATGACGCGCACGTGTGCTCCTGATGGTACAGATTTTCCACATCGTACGGCCCAGATTCGCTGAACCTCTTCTCCGCGATCAACCCCTCGTGAACAGGAACAAGCCGAGCGTCGGACCCCGCTTCCGACACCCACAGGCCTTGCCTGTCGTCCAGCAGGCTCCTCGATTCGCCAGGGAGCGAATCAACGTCTGGCTGTAACGGTAACGGCAACGGTGTCGCGTTACTCGAACCCTGGATGGACCATCGCCGACCGTTGTTACTCCGTAACGGTCGGCCCGCTCTGTCGCCTCCGCCTTCTAGAAGGATTCCACCGCCGGCTAGCGTGGCTCCTGCGAGCAAGAACCTTCGTGGAATCGTCCTGGAGCTATCCTGCTTGGCATCAACGCCAGGTCCAGCTTCCGCTCCTCCTGAATCTCGTGAGTCTCCTAAAACTGGTGAATCTTGTAATTCTCGTGGGTTTTGCGATTCTTGAGAGTCGAAGTGGCTAGCAGTAACGGCCTCCCGTTGTGTGTGGAGATCTGACTTACTGCTGCCTTCTGCAAACGAGAAAGGCGTGAACACAGGTGAGAGCGAATTAGAGGCGATTGCGAGAGCGGGAGTGGAGGTTTTAGATGAACGACGCTCTCTGATCATGATGATCCAGAATTACCTGATGATCATGAGGATTGCGTACGTGTGGAGTGTCGATTACCTGATGACGTCGAGGGGTCGCCTGCTGAACATCTCAATCTCCTGGGAACGTCTCGACGGGACGGAGAGCAAATCTTATGGGACGATTCTGATGGTGACCTGGGAAAGGCACCGGAGACACTGCTAGGCGGAATGACAAGCTTCTGTGCGAGTGCGAAAGCCATTACGCAATGAACACGTGAAAGTCCTCTAACTAGAAGCTCGACGAGGAAACGACGCTGGAAGAGCTCTGGTTAGCCAAGATATTGCACAAACAGTTGTTAGCAGCTTCCTAATCAAAGCATCCCAATGCTGCTTCTACGAAAAAACATGCCTGACTTCTTCACAAGCCCTCCGACGCGCAGTTGGCAAGAAAGGTTCGCTCCCTGCTGACTACAGCAAGGACGTGCGACCGAAGCTGGAGGTCCCGACTCGACATGGCTCAGAGCCATGGCGGCGCGGTCAGGTGGAGCACATTTTCCCGAGGTGAGAAGCCCAGCTGGATCTGTCCGTGTGTGCAGCGTTATCACCCTCCTGACACTTGGGAGTATCCCGTTCTCTTGAACCTTGAAAACGAGACTCTACACTCACACTCGGGCTGCTATCCACCGCCTGGCACAAAATATTCGATGGAGATGTGTTGGTCCAAATCGCTGTGTGGAGACACGCGCTTACAAGGACACTCTCCAATACTAAGCTTTGAAAACACGCGCTTCCAAAGTTCTGGCACTTGGAATGGATTCCCGGTGATGACACTTAGACATCTCAGGGTATTTTACACAGGCGGCCAGCAAAGCCTGCTGATCAAAACGTGAAACTGGTCTGGCCTCTAGCAATGTGCGGCCATGGGTAAGGCCGATTTCTGCTCTTGGTGCCTTTTTACCAAACAATTTCCAAAACCTCGGAATTTCTACGGGTTCGCCAACTGCTGCCTTCCCGTACCACGTCTCGTTCGCACATCCGTGGCGATAATGGGCCTGTCTGAGTGTAACATGCTGTCTGGATCCTCGTTCAACCAAACAAATCACATTAGCCCGTAAAATTGCCCAGACGAGGCTCAGAATCGCTGACGTGGCGGATCCCACCCATATCTGTTCCTGAAAGACTGGCTGTGCGAGAACCTGCCACGTCGCAACTCCATCACGTCACATCCCATGTGCCATGCCCCACAGTTGCGCCTCCTTTCATCTGTTCCTCCGCTTTGCTCCATACCCTACCCTCCCCTCCCTCTCCTCCACTCCTCACACGCCCTCCAACATCCACTCAAAACTTCTCTCTACTCTCTCCCGAAGGCTCCGTTTCTTTCGCATCTCCTGTGTCTCTCTCCACCTCTGTCCTACACCCCCCTGACCCAGTCCAGTACAGATCAATCCCCTGGACAGGCTTGCCTAGAGTAGGGGAGTTAGTTCCACCCTCGGGTAGTGGATTGTTGAATGAAGTCCACTGACGGGTTTCTGAGTTGTTCTCACTCCAGCTCCCTATCCGAGGGCCAAACCATCTAACATCGATACCTACGGCGTTGCTTGTGAAACTTTGCCGGCTCTATTTTGAGCAACACTAGGTCGTGATTATTCTCCTCTGAGCGGCAATAAGTTGTTCCACAGATTCAGAATTCCAGGTTCAAATGTCAACGGGCCTTACCCGTGCATGTCTTCGTTGCAAGCTTACCCAGAAAAGGGCCCAAGCAGATGTTCAACGCACATGTCACCGCCGTGCAGAGACATCACTTAGGTTCTCGCCTCTGGAGTACACTTACCCTCACAGCTCCCGCCAATGCGTGGATCATCGAAAGCACCTTCAACCTACAGTGGTCAGCACTTCAGTCCCTGCTCCGCTCGTTATTATTTTTCCCCTGTCGTCTCGAGGAGGCTCTAATTGCGACCAATAGTGGCTTTTGACTCGTTTCAGGTCTCGGGACTTGGCGAACCTGCGAAGTTCTGTCCATCGAGGCTTCACATTTCCGACATGACAGGAAGCACGCCGGGGTTTGCAGCATCAGAAGCTGCTGGTCTCTTACCTCGTGTATATACGGTGACACATGACGACATGACGGCAGACCTATTTTTGACGATTAGTTCAGCCGTTGACGTCAAGCAGGTCCGCATCTGCTCGCCTTTATCGAACATTATGGCCGTATGATTGCTCTCCTCGCCGTTAGCTGGGTCTTATGATTGTGGAACTCAAATCTGACCCTACTTTTTCTTTGGTCAGCTAGATGGATGGTCATCGAAACTCTTCCGCGACGAAGTCGTAGGGGAGTGGAAAGTCCGACAAAAGGCTGAAGGCGACGTCCAATATTCTCTACACCTGCACTGTCATGTCAGCGGATCTCATTCATTTCTCGCACCCCCTGTCATCCGAAGCTGGATATTTGAGAGGGAAATGCCACTGGTGAGCTGTTAATTATGATTCACTTGATTGAGATCGTCTGGCTGGAGACTTTGCCATTGTTCTTAAGCTTTATTTTCGTCCCTTCCATTCCCAGGTTTTGGAGTCGATTATGTACGCGGAGAACTCATTGCTCGCCTCCAATCCAGGTAAGCCGCGATGCATCAACTTTCGGGCTTCATTCCTTCAAATGAACCTACTGACTCCTCATCAACACGTTTTTTTGCAGATCTTACCGCTGCAACCGTATGGATTCATTACCACTCCCACTCGCCCAGCTTCGACAGAGCAGACTGCTGGGGTCCTCTGCACAGCAGCCTGTCTCGATCGAAGGATGAAACGACACTTCTAGATGTTCTGGGCATCTGCCTAAGAGACTTGTTACGCTGGCCATTTGACGACCCAGGCGTTCCGACTGTTCCTACTTCAGCAGTTCCTCTTCAGCCGCACTTTAATCCTGTTAGACAGCTCCGACCACAAACTCTGGCTCTCATTTCCAGGAAACACCCAGAGCAAGTGGTCGTTCCCCTGGTGCTGGGTTTCGTTTACGTTTTGAATTGTGTATTTCTCATGAACGTTCTTGCTGCTACAATGCAGTGAGATCCATCAATTTGTCGATGCAAACTTGCAGCTGCTGCTGCTGCCATTCGTGCCAAGGGGTCAGCTTTGTTGGCCATAGCATGTGCATCATGTAGTCAAATAGCATGATGTCATGGTTTCAGGTTGTCACTACCACTGCAGCCAAGCACACAAGAACTGCCTCAATTGTGCTGGAAACGATAGAAGCACCCTAAACCCTAAAAAGGAAGCAACAGAAGTGGCTGAAGCGTGAGTAATGGCCCAAGCGTGCGTAACGGCGGAAGAAATCTAACCTACCTCTCTGATACCATATTAGAGTAGAGGGAAAAGTGTGACTAAGGAAAAATGTAGAGGGAGAGACAAAACTAGGGTTGTACTCACTGAGAACTAGGCTAAAAAAATATGACATACCGTAATCCCCCGCATAGTGCACCCCCCAAAATTGAACACTCATCGGGTGTTTGATTTCGGTGGATGTTATTGTCAAACATATTTGTATATGTTATAATAGGCTAGATAGGTGCATGCCCCATTCTAGTCAACTTTTCACTATGAGATGGTATCTGTCAAACATGTGTAGTTATCATATTTGTATAGACTGTATAGGGTCACCTTCTAGAGAGTACAACATTTAGGTATATGTTTGTGTACTCTCTCTCTCTTATCATTAAAATTCTAGGTTTGATATGGTATCACGAGTAGGTTTCGACCCCCCCACCCCCCCCCCCCCCCCCCCCCACCTGCCGCTTCCGCTCCTCCCGTCGCGTCTCCTAGCCTCGCCTCGCCCCTCCTGAGCCCAGTCGCGACCCCTCCCCCTAGCCACGTCACGCCCCTTCCAGGGCCTCGTAGCGCCCCTCCAGGCCCCGTCGCGCCCCCCCTTCCAGGGCTTCGTAACGCCCCTCCAGGCCCCCGTCGCGCCCCTCCAGGGCTCTGTAGCGCCCCTCCAGGGCCCCGTCGCGCCCCCTAGCGCCCCTCCTGGGCCCCGTAGCGCCCCTCCAGGGCCCCGTCGCGCCCCTTCGCGCCCCTCCTGGGCCCCGTAGCGCCCCTCCAGGGCCCCGTCGCGCCCCTTAGCGCCCCTCCTGGGCCCCGTCGCGCTCCTCACAGGCCCCGTAGCGCCCCGTAGCGCCCCTCCTGGGCCTCGTCGCGCCCCTCCTGGGTTCCGTAGCGCCCCTCCTGGGCTTCGTAACGCCCCTCCCAGGCCCCGTCGCGCCCCTCCTGGGCTCCGTAGCGCCCCTACTGGGACCCGTCGCGCCCTCCCTGGGCCCTGTAGCGCCCCTCCTGGGCCCCGTCGTGCCCCTCCCAGGCCCCGTCGCGCCCCTCCTAGGCCCGTAGTGCCCCTCCTGGGCCCGTAGCGCCCCTCCTGGGCCCCCATTGCGCCCCTCCTGAGCCCCGCCGCGCCCCTCCTGGGCCCCCATTGCGCCCCTCCTGGGCCCGTAGCGCCCCTCCTGGGCCTGTTGCGCCCCTCCTGGGCCCTGCCGCGCTCCTCCCTGGGCCCCGTATCCACCCTCCTGGGCCCCGTCGCCCCTGCTCGGCCCGTCGCCCCTGCTCGGCCCCGTCGCCCCAGCTCGGCCCTGTCGCAGCCTCTCGGCCCCGTGGCGCCCGCCCTGCCCCTGTCGCAGCTGCCCGGCCCCTGTCGCCCCTGCCCGGCCCCGTCGCGCCCGCCCGGCCCCGTCGACCCCGCCCGGCCCTGCGGTGTCCTGCCCGGCCCCGTCGCTGCCGCCCGGCCCTGTCGCTGTCGCCCGGCCTCGTAGCTGCCGCCCGGCCCTGTCGCTGCCGCCCGGCCTCGTAGCTGCCGCCCGGCCTTGTCGCTGCCGCCCGGCCCCGTCGCAGCCGCCCGGCCCCGTCCCAGCCGCCCGGCCTCGTCGCTGCCGCCCGGCCCCGTCGCAGCCGCCCGGCCCCTCGTCGCGCCTGCCCGGCCCCGTCGCGCCTGCCCGGCCCCGTTGCGCCTGCCCGGCCTCGACGTGCCTGCCCGGCCCCGTCGCGCCTGCCCGGCCCCGTCGCGCCTGCCCCGGCCCTCCATACTTCCTGGTACTGTCCCCCGTTCCCCGCACCACTTTGCACCCTCCTGCACTTTCCTGCCCCGCCTTGCACCGCATTGCACCTCACTGAACCGCACTGATCGCACTGCACCGCACTGGACCGCACTGCACCGCACTGCATCGCACTGCACCGCACTGGACCGCACTGCACCGCACTGCACAGCACTACACCGCACCCCACTGTTCTCCACTGCCCCTCATGGCTGCTGAGCTTCGTTTTGATGCTGAGGGTCAGCCTCTGGAGTTCGAGGCGTGGTTGGCTGACCTTCGCCGCCACCTCACTGGTCAGCGGCAGGACGGCCACCCGCTTTCTGCACACCTCGACGGTATGCTCCCCTGCCCTGACCCCCCTGCTGTGCTGCCCGCTGATCCCACGCCCGCTGAGCGCGAGTCCACTGCCGCCGCTGCCCTTGCCCGCTCTGTCTGGCTTTCCCGCGATGCCCTTGCTCAGCTCGCCATTAGCAATGCCCTCCCCCCCCTTGAGCGCCCTCGCTTTAGAACCATTTCTACCGCCCAGGCCTACCTCGATGCTGTCATCAAGCGCTATTCTACCCCTCCTGCTGCCTCAGTGGGTCGCCTGATCCTCCCCCTGCTCTTTCCTGACCTGGCGTCATTCCCCACTGTCTCTGACCTCGCTGCCCACCTGCGCTCGATAGATGAGGCCTGGCGCGCTGCCTGCACTGATGCACAGCTTAGAGTCCACCAGCCTCCCATGACCTCTACCCTCTACCTCCTTGCCACCCTCCTCCCTGACCGCCTTGCCGCCGCCCGCGACCAGTTCCCTTTTATCCACCCTGCTGCTCTCACCCTCACCGACTTTGTTGACACCCTGACTGCCATAGAGACTCGTCACCGCTCCATAGCCCAGGCGAGCGGTACAGTACCGGTCCCTATCTTTCAGGGTTGTGCCCCCGCTCCGTGTACCTTCTCCGACGGCTCTGTCGCTGTGGCTGAGACTGCTGCTGCAGTGCAGTCCCGCTCGGGGAAGGGCCGCCGCCCAAGGTTGGGAGCGGCGGGGGTGGCGGGGGTGCGGGTGGGGGTAGTGGTGGAGGCGGGTCGTCCGGTGTCGGTGCGGACGTGGGGACCCTGCCCGGTCCAGCTGCCCCGCTGCCTCCACCGTTGCAGCAGCCGCAGCAGCAGCAGCCTCCGCAGCAGCCGCAGCAGCCGCCGCAGACGAGGCCGGCGAGTGCTCTCCCGCCTGGGTGGCCTGGAGCTGGTGGTGGTCGTGCGCGTGGTGGTGCCCGGGTGGTGGTTCTGGAGGCAGGCCCTGTCAGTACCAGATCCAGACCGGTCCTCGCCGCGGCTTCGTTTGCGGTAAGATCGGTCATTCCACTCCTCGCTGTTTTCGTCGTCTGGACGACCTGTTCCGCCAGCGCTTTGGCCCGGCGCCCGACCTCCCGGACTGGCACAGCTTGCTTAGGCGTAGCATTCGGGTTTTTGACTTGGACATGGATGCCATTGTAGCAGCCTTGCATGTGATGTATGTCGATGACTCTAGTGTGCTTCCCTCTTATTACCCCGTGTTGCCTAGTGTAGCTGTGCCTAGCGTAGACTCCCCTGCTGCGTCAGGCGTAGGATCTCCTGCTTTGCTTAGCCTCGGTGCTTCCCCCGCTTCACTGTCGCCCCGCGCGACTGCTGCGCTTTCCTTCACTTTGGACTCTGGCGCCTCCCGGTGTTTCTTCCGCGACTCCACGACGCTGACGCCGCTGCCTGTTCCCGCTGCAGTTACTCTTGCTGACCCCTCCGGTGGTCCCGTCGTTGCCCGCAGTTCCACCTCCCTTCCCTGTCCGGCGGTTCCTTCAGGTTCGCTCACCGGTCTGCATATCCCCTCGTTCTCCAGGAACCTAGTTGGTGTCGGCTGCCTCCAGGACCTTGGCGTCACCACTACTTTCCCTGGTCACGAGCGGTATGCTGTCTGTACCGAGGCCGCCACTGGTGTCCCCCTTACCACTTTCCCCCGGGACCCGGTGTCCGGCCTGTTCACACTTGACACCGCGACGTCCCCGGCTGGGTCTTCCCCCAGGTAGCTGCGTCCACCCAGGTTGCTGCTGCGTGCTCCTGGTCCCTCACTCATCCGACTCTCCTTTGGCACCACCGCCTTGGTCACCCTGCACTCCCGCGTCTGCGTCACATGTCCCAGCACGGTCCTCGTCCTTGGTCTCCCCGGTTCGTTCCCTGAGTTTCCCTCATCCCCCGCCCCACCGTGCACGCCTTGTGTCGAGGGCGGCTCCGCCGTGCCCCTCACTCCTCCTCTTTTCCCCCTACCACCGCACCCCTGCAGACTCTGCACATGGACGTCTGGGGCCCAGCCCCGGTCCATGGGCCCGCGTCGCGAGCGCTTCTTCCTAGTGCTTGTCGACGACTTCACACGTTACACCACCGTCTTTCCCCTGGAGCGGAAGGCCGACGTGCCTGACTTTCTCATCCCCTGGCTTGTCTCTGCTCGTCTCCACCGCGGTCTCCCTGCCTTGCGCCTCCACTCCGACCGGGGGTGGCGAGTTCGCCTCAGGTGTCCTTGGTCGCTTCTGTCGTGCGGAGGGCATCACCCAGACGTTTACCCTGCCGGGACTCCCCGCAGCAGAATGGGGTCGCTGAGCGACGCATCGGTTTGGTCATGGAGGTGGCTCGCACCTCCATGATCCACGCCGGTGCACCCCATTTTCTGTGGCCGTTCGCCGTGCGCTACGCCGCTCACCAGCTTAACCTGTGGCCGCACCCCCAGCGGCCCGCAGGTTTCGCCGACCCTTCTGTGGACCGGGTCCCCTGGGTGACGCGTCTGCGTTCCACGTCTGGGGCTGCCTTGCTCACGTTCGTGCCTCTGGCACGGACAAGCTCACTGCCCGCACCCTCCCCTGCGTCTTCCTCGGTTTCCCCCTTGACGCGTCCGACTGGCACTTCTACCACCCGCCGTCTCACCGTTTCTTTCACTCTCGCGACGTCACCTTTTGACGAGTCCGTCTCCTTCTTCCGCCGCTTTCCCCACCGTGGTCCCCCGGTTACTCCCCCCCTGTTCCTGGTTCCTCCCTCCCTGGTGGCCCCTGCCCCTCCCCCCCCCCGCCCCC